TAAGTAAATATAATTCCTTAATTTACCTTTGTAAAGAAATCTCATTGCTCTCTGCTGTCTTTACCGACAACATCTTTACCTGTGTAGGCCACCGTAGCTTCTCTAAAGAGAGGGGTGAGCGGGGGACTGAGCCGTTGGTTGCAATTCGTAACCTCACCGCTAGATGCCGCTAAAATTTACACACTGCACCTTTAAATCTCAAATTTATTTTACAGAAAAATATTACAATATTTTATGTAATATTTCTTATTTTGATTATTATTATTTGTTGTTGTTGTTGTTATTGTTAATATTATTAAAATGTATTATATTTTTCTTAAATATTAAATGATTTTACAGAAAAATATTACAAAATTATGTAATATTTCTTATTTTGTTTATTACTACTGTTACTACTACATAACATACTACTACATAAAATATAAAAAAATAAGAAATATCACAACACAAATATTGCAATTTCACTGTAAAATGAAAAAAGAATATTTAAAAATGTATAATAACAATATATTAATGAAATAATGTAATAATATAATAATCATTGTTATTATTATTATTACTACTACTAAATATAAATGTAAATAATAATACTAATAACAAAATAAAAATATTAATATTTGAAGAATTAATACTACTATTAAAATTTGAGGAATTACTACTACTACTCCTACTACTACTACTACTAATAATAATAATAACAATATAAGTGTATAATAATGTTGTTGTTATATTATTAAATAAAACGCTTATATAATATTAATAATTTAATTTATTTTATTTTATATATTTCTTAAATATTCAATTTTATTTTACAGTAAAATATTTTGTGTTGTGTAATAATTCTTGTTTTGTTTAGTAATACTACTACTACTACTACTACTACTAATAATAATAATAATTATTATTATTATTATTATAGGAGTTTTTTTAGAAACAGAAAAAGACATTTTCCTCCAGTTGTGCAGCCCTAGTTAGGTCTGTGTTCAAATTATTAACCCTAAGTATGAGCAGTAGTTTAGCCCCTAAGCAGCAGATGAAATATGTTTTGTATTCGGTCGATTAACGTCCTGATGACGGCTCGTGTCCGCAGCGGATCCTCTGGTCGGGAGCATCGCCACACAGTACTTGACCAACAGAACGGAACATGACAGAATAGCTAAACAGTGGACGAAGAGATACGCCACATAAAGCGGGCCGTACAGTATCGACACAAACACACACTATATCCCCCCTCAGCCCTGCTGTGCCTCTACCTCTCCCCGTCTGCTGAAAGCACACTCACCAAGTGCAACAATAGATCTGGCCCCTCTTCCTTCCAACTTCCTGTAGACCTTTCTGTGAAGAAACTGTCCTTTGTTCCTTGTTGACTTGAAAGCTTCTTTTTATACAAAGAGTAGATTGGGACTTTATTTTCCAATTATCTGAATGTTTGAATTACCTTAGGAGAAAAGGAATACTATTGTTATTATTATTATTATTATTATTGTTGTCCTTCAACTTAATGTATGTATATCCTTTCTTTTTAAGTGACATCAGGAACAACTACAGCTTATGAACTACTTTGTTTTTCTCATCACCGTATAGTGTATTTCTTTATTTTCTCCTCTCTCTCCTCAGTCGGTAAGATTTCCATGCATGTAACCGGATGACGAATCGCATCCTTTCAACTCCAAACTCGGCCCTCTTGTTTTGTTTGTATGTATTTTTTAAACTTAAAGTCATGGCGGCCAGTCGACGATAGGCTTGCTTGTGAATAAAAAAAAAAAAAACGATGTGTACATATTGCTACATGCCACCTCTGGCCAGAATGGACTGTTGTGCACTTGCTTCATGAAAAACACCATAAATAAACACTGTGGCTGAATTGTCATTTCTTGTATGTAATGTCATATGTTCAGTGCATGTGTATTTCTCTCTAGTGTTACGCATGACTTCCTGTGCTTGTCACATGCGCTTTAAACATCAGTCACACTAAACTGCAGTATTTTTATTCTTTAATAAAAATTCATTCCTAACTAGTTACAGAAGGACATGTTTGCCTGAACTAGTGCCTGGATTATCGTCACTAGCTGATGACTGTGTACTGATTGAAAGTGTCAGAATTTGACAACCTGGTCAACAGATGCATAAGAAGTCATGCATGAAAAGATTTTCTTTTTTCAAAAATTTTAAACTGTAAATATTGGGTATTATAACCTTTATTTAAAGTCAGTCAATTCTACTGTTCTTAGTATTTGCTGTTATTAATTTGTATTTTACTTCATATATGCGGCATTATCTGTCCTGCTGTCTTGATATCCCTATTAGCATCAGCCAAAACCCATATTGGTTGACAACTGATTTTTTTATTTTTTTTATTGTTATTAGCAGATTTTGTTTGAATTTTATGCTACACACAGGTTTACCTTCATATGTTGCAAATGCAGGGATTAAAAAAAGAGCTAGCATTTTACCTTACATTTCAACTTTAACTTGTTTTATCTAATAAATGTGTCATGCAAGAGTTCTGGTTATATATTGCAAATATATAGGCAGATTATATATTGCAGGTTAAATATTGCATATATATTGGCAGACGTCTTTTGGCTATCAGATCCAGTTCTGCAACCACTAAGCAACAGCCCCCCCACATTTTCTACTATTTGCACCAGTTCAGATCATATTTTATTTATTTTTATGCAAATCTATGTAATTTTTTGATTAGCTGGGAATTATTGTCATGTGTTTTGCTAAGTTTGAACATTTGTGCGTAAAATATTATTGGACATTCGCAAAGCAGATAAAGGACCTGGACCTTAATTTTCTTATTAACATGCACAAGTTTCCCCTATTATTATTATTATTATTATTATTATATTTTTCTAATATTCCAGTTTTTTTTTTTTTTAGAGTAAAATATTGCCTTAGAAATATTTTATTTTATTTTTATTTTGTAATAATTGTAATATTATTTGTAATCAAATATTATTTTTGTTATTATTATTATTATTTGCTCATATTGATATATGTTTGTGCAGCTGCACAAAAATATTGAAATCAAGGTGAAATAAAATAAAATAAATGTTAGATGAAAAACTTGAAAAACTGAAATGAAAAGTTAACAATTAATAAATTACTACAATTAGTAATAACTAAAACTAAATATGAAATAAAAATTAAATTAGAATTGCAATTTGCAGTTTTACTGCAAATAAAATTAATACTATATAAAAAAATAATCAATTACATACCACAAAAAATTTATTTGATAATCCTCTGTATTTAAGAATAATTTAATAAGAATGCTACATAATTTCTATAATTATGTAATAGTAATTGTGCAGCTGTACAAACAAGCACAGCAAACCTGCAGCATTTCAAGGGAAAAAAATTGTGCACAAGATACACAAGTTTTTCCTATTTTTGGCCCTTGATCAGTGTCAAAATGAAGACTATGGAACAGTTACATTGTATGATCTCAGTTTATATTACTCAAAAAGGTTATCAGTCATACAATGTCATTATATCTGGTTCAATGATAAGATTGGAAAAGATTCCATTTGGTATTTTATGTTAGTCAGGAGTTCACAGTTCATATACTTTGTAAAATCATATGATAATTACTTGTCTGTCTTGTCTGTTCCGCAAACTATAACCTTTCGCACATATTACACACATCTATCAGCTGTTGTGGATTATAAAACCGTACTCCTCACAAATGCCAAAAGGTTGGCTAATCATTGCGAATTTCACACCCCAAAATCATTAAATGTCAAACTTCGCAATTTTCTCAAGTTAAGCCATATCTGTCGAGTGTTTCCATAAATGAGCTTGTGTGTTCACTATTGCAGTCAGCTGTCTTAAAGGAACAGTTCACCTTCAAATTAATATAATGTGATTATTTTCTCATCTTTCTCTCATGATTTTATTTTGTCAAGCTCCAAAAAAAAAAAAAAGTTGAAGTACTACAATTACTAAAACTAAAATTAAAAATTACATAAAGCTATACAGAAATATTTAAAAGTTATAAAAATGACAAAATCACGTAAAATTACCAAAACATAAACTACAATTAAAATGAAAACTTAAAAAAAAAAAAAATAGAAGTAACCTAATTCAAAATATTAGTAAATAACACTAAAATAAAAGTTATTACATTTGATCTTCTGATTGAAGATCAATTTTAAATAATTTACTTGCATTCGATTAATAACCTATAAATATTGCAGAATCTACAATTTTTAGGTTTAAAGGGGAGAAAATCCCAGCTTTTCAGTTAAGTTAAATTATTAGGTCTATGTGTTTTAGCCTCAGACATTTAGACTCAAATTCATATTGTATTATTAATAACAGGCATATTTAATAAATATTATGATTCCAACAATGTGCCATTTTCTCATTATGCTTAGTGAAACGTTAAGAAGAACAATTAATATTTGTGGTCCCAATAAGACATCTATATTTTCAGGACACCCTGCAGTTTTTTCCTTGTCGTCACATTTACAGCAGATGACCTGTTTAAACATCCCAGAGTCTTAATAATAGTTTTCCATGCGGTCACTCATGTGAGGCTGACTGCAGAGATCTAGTTTGTCCACTAGATGTCAGCAGATGACTGTCTGTTTACTGTGACGCAGCTGATGGAAACATTTCAATGATGTCTTTCCTCCGCAAGGCAATGAGCTGTGTGGACATCCTGATAAAACAGACTCTGAATACAGAATACAGACTGTAATAAAAGGAACAAAATGAGAAGTACGTTTAAAAAATCTCTGTGAATGTATAACCCATCCTCGATCTGTAAGTTGGGTTGACTGATGTTTGAGATATGAGGATTATGCGGTCATTTTTCTGAGATAAAGATCAAGATCTGGTTTATTATTCGTAGATTATGGTTAAATGACATGCAATAGACCTACTGAACCAAATAGCTATATTTAGCAGCTCGTCTGGTAGGTTTAACCACGCCTTTTCTGTGGTTTACAGTACAGAACGTTGTGTCCCAGTGTTCTTTGGATCAGTGATCTGGCAAGAGAAAAATGTTCAGACTGTGCAGGGTGTACATACATTGTGTGCTTTTCTAGAAGAGACACTTCACTTGTTAAATCAGGTGATCATCTTGGAAACCACCAATTAAATGTATAACCACTGTTGCATAAGTATCATAACCACATTTATGATCCTGTCGTATAAGTGTTATATAGACTTTGCTGTCCTAGCAGTGAAAACAGTATAGTTGAATAACTATGGTAAATATGAGGGAACACTGAGGGAAATAGTTATGGCATTTTATGCATATAAATAATAATGTTTAATTTAATGTCATTTTTGTGTTACAGCATAAATATGATTTATTGTATTATTATTATTATTCTGGTAGGTTTAACCACGCCTTTTCTGTGGTTTACAGTACAGAACGTTGTGTCCCAGTGTTCTTTGGATCAGTGATCTGGCAAGAGAAAAATGTTCAGACTGTGCAGGGTGTACATACATTGTGTGCTTTTCTAGAAGAGACACTTCATTTGTTAAATCAGGTGATCATCTTGGAAACCACCAATTAAATGTATAACCACTGTTGCATAAGTATCATAACCATATTTATGATCCTGTCGTATAAGTGTTATATAGACTTTGCTGTCCTAGCAGTGAAAACAGTATAGTTGAATAACTATGGTAAATATGAGGGAACACTGAGGGAAATAGTTATGGCATTTTATGCATATAAATAATAATGTTTAATTTAATGTCATTTTTGTGTTACAGCATAAATATGATTTATTGTATTATTATTATTATTATTGTTATACAAGTACAGTGTCCCCTACCACTTGTACTTAACAGTTTTCTCCCCTTACCATCTATCTATCTATCTATCTATCTGTCTATCTATCAGTCTATCAGTCTGTTGGTCTGTCTATCGGTCTATCTATCCATCTGTCTGTCTATCTCTTATTATTTGTTTGTTTGTTCATTCGCTCATTTGTCCTATCTATCTGTCTATCTATTATTCGTTTGTTCTATCTATCTATCTATCCTTCTGTGTCTCTGTCTAATTATCCGTCTGTCTGTCTGACAGACTGTATCTTTCTGTTTGTCTCAAATTTTCAGACAAGGCTTTGTAAAGCCACTCAAAGTTGTCTGGAAAAAAATATACAGTCCTTAAAGACAGACAGCCAGTTAGATAATGCAATATGCATTTCATTTATGTGGAAACAAGTATTGCCCTGTGCCATGGAAAGTTCAGTTTCAGTTCGCTTGAAATCTTAGAACATTATCTTATTTCTTTGAATTTTACCCAACCCTTCTAGCAACCACCCAGAACAAGCACCTACCAATCACATCACGCTCCCAAGTGAACTGGATAGTCAACATCCATTAAACCGTAGGCTATAAACCGTATCTGGACACAATGTGGTCATTCGTGCTTGTGGAGAGATGAGTAAACTTGACTCAAGTGTGAGCACAGTTGATGATCCATGAATAAATAAATATATTGGAATGACTAAAAAAGAGCTTATTATGGAGCCTTTAATAGATGGCTTATGTTACACTTTCAAAAACATGCAGGAAGAACACTTAAACACTACAAAAATAAAATTAAAAGTGGAAACTTTTTGTATGTTTTTGGCTTGATACTACACTTTACAAAAACGTTTCTGTGCTACTAACACGCATGCATTAAAAACTACAAGTTTAAAGAAATAAATGTTAAACGGCTCGTCGTCACAGCGTCCCGTTATTCGCCCCCGCCCCGGCCCTGTTGTTATTTTGAACGGGGAGTGGCGGCGTTCCAGAAAAACATCGTGTTCCCAGAAGCGCGCATCACGTTGCAGCGGTGGATTCGTGCGCGCGGGCTCCGCCTCTGGACGTGTGAAAGCAGAGACACATGGC